CAGTGATCGACATGAGACTTCGGCTAAATACTCACGTTCGACGCTAAATGAACGCAGGAAAGGAACGGTGTCATGAAAAAGCGTTACATACCTCTAACTTCTTGCGAAAAAATGACCTATTATGTTATTGAACCCACGCGACAACGAATTCAATTAAGAGTATCATTTATTCGAAATCCAAGAAATACTAGTTCATCTTCAACACTCTAAAAGACGAATTTTCTACTCAGAACAACTATTGCAGACCCCACAAGTATTGCTCGGGGTCACTAAATCACCATCACTGACATGGTTGTATCACTAAATGGAAAAGTACCACCTTGAAATTTAAAGAAATGCATCCAATAAGGCCAATGAGGTAGGCTCGGAGGTAGATTAGGGGTGAGGGGAGAAGGAGGAAGTGATTTCTTAGGTTGTTCCTTGAGTAGTGTCGTGTTATTCAAATGGAGAACTTTCCCTAGAACCTTCCCTTACATTGTGTCATTCACCAATCGAAACTAATTTATCTGCTCTACAAAAACGCGTCTTCGTTCCACAATCTTTGCTATTACGTTGAATTTTACCAGCAAAATGTGTGGTCCAATCGACGAGAATTCACTGATCCGAGAATTAGCTGTACCTCAATATCCACTAGGGGATCGTTCAATGATGTACCGACTACTTATTCTTGATCTCTCCCAAACATTCTGCCACTAGATTATCAGGAAAGCCTTGTCGCGTTTCTTTTCGGACTCGATATTCTCTGGCTAGTAGCTGAGTCAAAGCCGTTTTCGAACTGAAATTTTTTGTTCGAAACTTCAGTGTCACTCGTGTTTTATTTGGTGATAATTATGTGTTTATGTTCGTTATCACTGACGTAAAATGCGAGAGCAATGTGTGAACTGTCCAGTCCAAGATAGATAGTAGCCACATTATTTACTTCAAAAATTCCCCCTCCACACCCCACCCTGAAGATTATAAAACCAGATATGCATTTCTAACCCAGCTCGCGACTACATAGTTTTTAACATTGCACTAGTTTCACAACGCCTCGGCTGTAAGAATTTTTGCGTCTCGATTGGACGATAGAATAGCTCGGCAGAAGTTAGCCAACAAGTTCTGACGGAAAATCCAATCGAAAAGAGAATGACTTGACCTAGTGGAGAGCCTGATAACGTAATGATTAGACTCGTGGCTGAGTAGACAGAACATCTTTGATACCCTTGTCTCAGAGGAAAATTAACTGGGAGCTAACTGCTGGTTAAGCTAGCTTCCTTCGACTAGACCTCATCTACGAAGGCTCAAAATTCAAGGTCTCCCCGAGGAATGTGAGAGCGCAACATCCCGTTCTGTACAGCAGTCATGGCGTATCTTTAACGATTAATAGAGAACACTTCGCAAAAGCATGGCAGTGAAAAAAATTTGTTTGAAAACAAACGACACTACTACGGGATCCATATACTAATCCTCTGAAACTTTTGCCCTACGTTGTTCCTGCCCCGTTACCTTTTAAGACTCAAAATCCTAAACAGGATTTCAGGACTATATCTCGTGATATCTCCAACATTCACTCGAAGTAGACCAGATTAACAGATCGTGAATATTCGACAATAAGACCTTTTCACAATGATTTTCCTTCATTCAGCTCATGCTTTACTTTTTTTAAGCTTAACAAACTACGACGGAGGCTGGGCGATGCGTCATGTAGCAGGGCAGTGTAGTCGGATTGGGTTCCTAGCAACGCTTTTCAAGAACATGCTAAATGTCAGGGCACTTTAAATGCCTGTAAAAACCTCCAACGCGTCCCAGTTCCAATTTCTGACTTTCAGAAAATCCTCGCTAACTTACCGTCGTGGTTGAATTACTATGTGCAACACAAAGTATACGTTTATGT